GTTGTTGAGGAACATGTTGAAATACTTCTGGTTGTGGTTGTGGTTGTTGAATATCATATGTAAATGTTGATACATTTGATATTTGAGATGCTAAATCTAATAAATAATAATCATCACGTGCAACTAATATTAAATAACGTTGTTGTTCAGCTTGTGTTGTTAAACGAAGATGTGAACGATATGATTGACAAAGACGATGTATAACAGTACGATAACGTTGAACAAGACGTAATGATGTTGTTACATCAATACGTGATACACGACGTATATCAGTTGAATTTGTTTGACTATAATCATCACGTGATGAATAATCAACAAGATGTAATAATGGTATTGGTTCAGCTAATTGTCGAGCTATTTCATTTTCTAATTCAGAACTATTTGCTGGTAAACGACCATTAATACGTGATATTGTTTCATCAACAGTTTCTCTTTTTACTGTAATATTCATTTGACGACGTTCAGCACTTGTTACAGATAATATTATTAATTGTGCACTACCTAAAAATAATCATTGTTATCATGTTAAGAAAGTTTTATTTTTTATTATATAATAAAAATTTCTTATGAAGCAACTCTACCAAGTGATTAAAAGCTTTTAAAGTAATATTTTGTCTATATGTAGAACCTGGTCAGGCTAGAAAAAAAACTCAAAAGAATAACCCTCCATAGGTCTTTCTTTTGGAGCCGTGACTAGTTTACTAAGTTTTCGACTCATGGCTAGGTATTTAGAAAAAAATCGAATGATGAAATTTTACCCATATGTAGGTTCTATGGTCCTTAGTATGCGCTAAAAGTTTCAACGAAAACGAATCTTTTTTTCTCGAGATAATGAATTGGAAAGAAGTGTCCATATTTGACAGAGAACTCAGAAAAAACAATTTTTCTTATATATTCAGTATCTCGAAAAAAAAAAGATCCGTTTTCGTTGAAACTTTTACTGCATACTAAGGACCATGAAACTCACATATGAACAAAATTTCAAGTCAAAATTTCATCATTTGATTTTTTTCTAAATACCTTGCCATGAGCCGAAAATTCAGAAAACCGATCATAGCTCCGGAAGAAAGGCCTATGGGAATTTATCCTTTTGGACTTTTTCTAGTCTCGCCAGGTCCTAACTATGGACAAAATGTCATTTCAAAAGCTTTTAATCATTTGGCGAGGTTTCCTCGTTAGTAGGTTTAGGATCAATGCAAATAAATTCCTTCAAGCTCATCACTATCGTTCAATAATATGGATGATTATCGAAAGCGATTTAAACAACCAAGGATTTTCTTCACAATATAAAAACTTCGAAAGTGTTCATTTTTATTATTCACAAATCGAATATTTATTATTCATACATTATTGTATATCATCATAAAAATAGTGCATTGGTTGCTTATCAAACCTGAACACTGGACAGAACGAAAAAGTTAGTCCTATATTTTGATCAAAATTTTCTTTTACCATAATTTTTACATAATATACATAGTGTCAGATGTTTTGTTCTTTTGGTAGAATATTATGGTTTTTTGTGGATTTGAAATTTCAAGAAGAAGCCATTCTTTTTGACTAAAAGTTTTCGGAGATTCTAATGACTTTAAGAGCTGTCTCTGAGTAAAGTGTTAGGCCAAAATTCGTTTCTCCAACTTTTTTTTATAAATACCATGCCAAAGGTAAAAAGTCCAGTATACCGATCATAACTCCAAAAGGACAGCGCATAAGGAAGAATTCTTTTAGCCTCAACAGGCTCCACGTTATGACTGAGGCTCCAATCTCAGATAGTTCTCTCATCAGCACAGCAGTCGGAAATGGCAGAAATCTTTGAGCACCCTCGAATTTTAATCTGAAATTTCGTACATATAGAGAACTCAACTACAATAACTTCCATAAAAAAATCAGGAGTTTTTTGAAAGCTTCCTATCTCGAAGAGACTTTATTCAAAACTTCTGATTCTTTTTTTTTTATAAGAGTTAATCTAGTAGAGTTCTCTATATGGGTAATATTTAAGATTAAAATTCGAGTTTTCCGCAAACCTGTGATATCTAGGAAATAGACATATTAAAAATTTGATAGCTTAGTCAAATCTCAATAAGATATTCAAATCCTTTTAGAGTTTTCATTAGAATATTATGCAGTATTTATAGGTAAATAAAAATTACTGAAATCAGAAGTGAGGAATTATGTTATAACACAATAGAAAAAATTATATTGTCTACAAAATGTATTAAACAGATTTTTTTTTTAAGATCTCGAGCTTACATTCTCAAAAAGAAATATCCAATGGATTTTATTAAATTTTCTACTTAATTCAGATATTTAATATATTATTGAATATTAATAAACAAAAAACAAAAAAAGAAACATTCTTTTTACATACCATAATGATTAAGTTCATATTCAATTTCACAACGAATAAATAAAGGTAAATTTTCAAGATTTCTATTTTGTTCTGTTCTCATTCGAATTCCATCTTTAGTATAATAATGTATTGTTATTGATGGATATCTTGTTTTATCATATGTTTTATCATCATCATCATATGTATTTAAAGCATATTCACGTCGTACTAATTGATAATTTTCATCTGATGATGTAACAATAACATGTAATTCAGCTGATTTTAATTCTTCATCTGTATATGTACGTTCAATACGTTGAAGTTGTTTTTCAAAACGTGTTTCTGAACCATATTGAGTTTTTTCTTCATAAGATACAACAAGACATTTACATGCACCACGATTATGAATTTCATAAACTTCTAATGAATGATGTTCATTTTCATTATAATCACTTTGTTCAATATGACGACGAATAACATTTCGATTTGTATCACTTATTTGATCAGTACGTTCATGTGATGAAACTTGAACATATGATGTACGTTGTTCAGGAATATCTTTTATTTGATTATCAGTTGTTATTGTTTGAAAATTTTCTTTATCATCAGTATAAACAATAGTTGTTGTACCAGGTTCATCTTCATCTTCACTTGTATCATGACTTGAATGACGTCGTTTAACTTCATATTTTGTTGTTGTTGTTGTTGTTTTTTTTCGTATAATTTCATTTGCTTCATCATTTTCATTAGATTCTATTTGTATACATTGCCGTTCTCTTATTGGTCGATGTAATGAATCTGTTGTTTGAGCACCAACTGTATTATGTTCAACTGTTGTATTAACTTGTGTACCTATTGGCCGATAAGATGGTTTTATAGTTGTTGTTGTTGTTGTTGGTATTGTTGTTTGTGCAGCAAAATCATGTCGATCTAATGTTGATGAACGATTAAATCCATAATCAGATGTATAAATATTAGGATTTGATGGTACAGCTTTTTGTTCTAATATATACAATGTTTCAACATCAACTTTAACTGGTATATTATCATGATGATGATGAGTACGTGATGGAGTTGAATCATCTTCATAAAAACGAGTACGAATATCACGAACCATTGAAACAGACGTTTCAGCATTCGGATTAAGAGAAGGCATATAGTCGTCATTCTAAGTACAAACAAACAAGAATTCGAAATCTTGATAGTTTGATCATTTTATTTTTTTTTGTTTTCTTTCGAAAAATTCAATCTATAGATAATAACTTACATATGTTCCACTAACAGTACGTCGTCCTGAACTTATAAGTTTGTTTTGATCAGATTCGAATCTTCTCATATTTGAACTATTATCTTGAATATAATTTTCTTCATATGGACTTCTATGACGAAAACCAAAACTTCCATTTGTTAAACCATATTCTTGATTTTCTCGTCTTGTTACTCGTTGAATATTTGGTGATGATGGAAAATTTGTTGATGTATTTGAATATTCTTCATGAAAAGATTTATTTATTGAATTCTTTTTTGTTCCTTGTGTATTTGTTGTTGGTGTTGGTGTTGGTGTTGACGAAGATTCAAGACGATCAACCATTTGTCGTACACGACGCTGTTCCGATGATGATATTGGTGATACATGTCTTCTTGTTCGTGAACGATCTTCAAGAAATACTTCATTATATAAACCTTTAAAAAAAAAAGAATTCATTAAATCAAAAGAAACTAAAAAAAATAATATTTTCAACTAACGATCAGAAGCTTGATTTGGATTTATTAATGATGGTGATGAACTTCGTATATAATCTCCTGTACGTGATGATGCTGATCTTGTATCAATATGTTTTGCCATTTGTTTAACTTTTGATTTATTAGTAGAATTATTTGAATGAATAATTGATGATGTTGAATAATTTAAATCTATTCTATCTTGTGATTGTTGTCCATTTGTATTTTGTCCTTCATCTTCTAAACTATCTTTTGAATCAATTCTAGCACGTCTTTCTCGTTCACGCCAAATATTAAATACATTTGAATTATTTTCATTATTAGATCGAACTGTACGTTGTGGTAAACGTTCTTGTATAAATTGTAATGCATGAGATTTTGTACGTAATATACGATAAAGTTTAAGATAATGAATAATTTTTTTTAAATGTTCTTCGGAACTATTTTCTAAACGTTGTAAACTTATTAATTCATCAATTAAATATTGAATATTTTCAAAATCTTGTTTATCAAATGATTTTTTATTTGTTAAACGACGTATACGACCTATTACACGTAGGACATCATTATCAATTGGTCGAAAACCTAATCGACGAGCTAAACTTTCATCTGTTTCATTTTCATCATCATCATCTTCATTGTCTCCACTACCATCATCATTAGGTCTATAAGAAGAAACATATTTCAAATATATATGAAGACTTTGTGATTTTTTCATTTTAAACAGTAGGGAACTATGAGTTTACGTTTTTATGAATCCGGATCCGAAAAATAATAAAACTTTGGACCCGAATCTGGATCTGAAAGGACCTGCAGTTCCTTATCGGACAGAGAAAAGAAAAGTAAATGGATCTTGTACATATTAGGACTTTCTTTTTCCAAAAAAACCGGCTTTTCTAAAAAAAGACGCTTTTTTTGAGATAAGTATATAGGTAGGATTTCAAGAATTCATGATAAGTTTCTAAAGCTCTCTAAAATGTAGCTAGAAGGGTACTTGATAAGACTCATGTTAGAACTGTCTTCATGTAAATATACAAAAAGGTTCTTGAAATTTGGTTTTTGAATATAATTATCGAATTTCGAATTCTTTTTTTTTTCAATAGTATTTGTTCTAGTGAACGGCGGCTTTTTTTCTGATTCGATAAATAAATACATCCTCTTTCGGATGAGAGAAAGAGACTTCGTATTCAACTCTGAATATCAAAGCAATAATGGTTTTTCTAGAAAAACATTCCGAAGCAATAAGAAGTTTTCTTTGAAATGAGAGTAACCCGAGTGTTGTAGCTTGAAGTGTATTGAAGAAAGCATTTGCATGCGTGAAAGCTCCATTTTGCATTATGATCTCTGGAAATCTTCTGAATGATAAGGTTTGGAACTATGGATTCTTTTTCTTTATTGATGTACACTCATTAATCGAACATCTTCAGGGAATTTTGAAGAGTAATTCGATCAGCTACTCAATGTTTTATCGATAGGACAATATGTGATAGATACAGTCACTTGGATTCAATATTTTTGGACTCAGATTCGAATCGTACTTTTAATATCAACGAAATCTTTTCGTTTAAGTCTGATAGTCGCTTCGAATATCGATATTATAGATCATTTTGAACATTTATTGTTGATGAAAATATATGCAAAAAATAAGCTTAAAGAATATCAAATGATCTTATAAAGAGATTATGAGAATTGATTGATGTACTCAAGGACTAGTCATAATTTGCCTTGAGAATTCTTGTCGATATTAGAATTACTTCGATGAGATGTTTTTTAGATTCGAGTTTCGGCTTGCATTTTTTAACAGATCCTATCCGAAGAGAAATCAGAATAAATATAATGGGTTCCATTTCAATATTTATAATGATAATCAAATATAGATACACTATAATAAAGAGTCTTCAAGAATTAATATATAACTATAAAAATCGAATAACATGGAAGATTTTCTCCGAAAAACATCAAAATCTCCACATTATTTCACTATTTTTGAAACAATAAGTTTTCTTACAAAAAAGTAAAGTTGAGAATCATCCCCATTTCTCAAACGACAATACATCTGATCGAACTGAAACTTCTATTTTTATTAGAAAGAATTTAGAATGTCTACATCTTTTTGTTTCAAAATATAATACACCGCTGGATTACACCAGAATTTACAAGAAAACCTCCAGTTAAAAAAAAACATGCATGCTTAGGGGTGTACTCAGTATTTTAATCTTTTTATTTGAATGGACAGAGATACCAAATTCCTAGAATATGATGTTAGTGGTAACATTTTCTTCCTTATTAAGAATATAATTCCTGTGAATTGTTTATACTAACCATGATTAGTATTTTTTATTCGATATGTAGCTATAATCGAAATTCGTAAAAGGTTCGTGAATTAGTCGAAAATTCTCACATTTTTTTTCTGATCATTTCAACTGACTTTGAGACTTATGTTTTCCATTAGACGAATCTTAAGAATAGATTTGAAAAGAATGTTCAAAATTGATTACAACTAGCATAAAGAATCGCTAGGAGTCTGATAATTCTCAATACTGGGTACATGTTTTTATAAGCAGGGATATTTATGAATTTCGGTTACAACTTTGAATCGAACAAAAAAAAAACACCGATCATGATTGATATAAACAATTCACAGGAATTACATTCTTATTAAGGAAAAACAAAATATTATTTTTGATATCATATTCGAGGAATTGGTGAATCTCTATTTGATAATCATTCATTATAAATATGTATTTACCGTCTTGGATTATTATTATTATTATTATTTCGATTTGATCCATTTCCATTTCCACCATTTCCTGATGATCCATTTGTTTGATAATTTCTTTGATATGAACCATTATTATTATTAGTAGTATTATTATTACTATTTCCATTATATTGTTTCGAATAATGATTATTATTTCCATTTCTAGTATCCACATCCATTTCAGGTTCAATTGTTTGTGAATATTGATCTATTTTAACAAGATTTAAATCTTTAGATAATAATGATGAAAAAACTCCATAACGAGTAGCTTGTTCAAGTTGACCATTATTAACTTGTAATTGTATATCAAAATGATTAAGTGCTAAATCCATTTGATTTGAGTTACAAATATTTTCATCATCTTTATTTTCAATTTTATTTTTATTATTAATAATTGAAAATTTTTTTTCATCAATTAAATTTTCATTATCATTATTAATAATATATGATTTTTCTACACGAATATTATTATTATTATTATTTGTATTTATCCATTTATGACAACCACTAACAAAACGAAGATTTTGGTTATTTGATTCATTTTGTTCAAGTGAATCCATTGATGATGTACGTTGAATAACCTAAAATTACAAAAAAAGAAAAAAATTTATTTTGTCAATAAGAAAGATAAAAAGCAATTTAATTTACTGTTAAATCAATTTCATCGTCTTCTTCACGTTCATTATCCATTTGTATTGAATAAAAGTAATTCTAATACGAAAAAAAAACCAAAGAAAATATAATTGACTTTTTTTATTTTCTATCATGTGACTATGATTAACCGCATCGTCTACGACTTGTGTTTTTTCTCCTCAAGTCACAATCTCAAAAATCAAACTTACCAAATTAATATCAACGAAATTTTTATGCGTCATTGTATAATATCAAACGGCAAAAAAAAAAGATAAACAAAACTATGGTTTATGTATATTAATGGCTCATGATAACGTTAACGACCGAATATTATAATGAAGGTATAGGTATGCAATAAGCAAAGACATGTCACGGACGAATGAGTTGAGAGTAGAAAAAAAAGGTAAACAGTGAATGGTGAAAATATAATATACATATTTATACGTTATACATGATGGCCAAGGACAATGACGGATGAATACAATAGCAAAATACAATAGTACAAAGTAGTATTTCGGATTGGTTGAATGAGGTTTTTCTTTTATTGCCATATACGTTAAAATACTTACTTGCCATTGAGATAGCTTAATTCAAAAATCAATGCCTATATATTCAGTATTATGAAAAGATTTTGATTGCATAACAAATCAACTCAAATAAAAGAAAAAAAAACGAAAAACTTTTTATTTCAAAGAAAAAAAACCGAATATCATATCTCATTTCAAGATTCACTTAATAAAATTTGTCTTTTTGTTAATAACAATGATACTCACCACTCGTTTGTCGATTGCATTTAACGCTCTTTGTCATATGAACGAAACCTTTTCTCTCATATTCTTCTTTTTTTTTGTTCTGCCTGGTTGAACACCTATTTTTTCCCTCTCCCTTTCTCTGGGCAATAATCGTCGTTCAAAAAAAATGGTATATATGATGTTCAATGAGAAAATGATCTATCATGTACGAAGAAAAAAAACTGACGGGAGAGAAAAGTATATAGCAATCAACTTGTCCGACCATAACTGAATTGAAACAGCCATTGAATGAGCCGAGAGCATACAAGCGCATCCTATTCTTCGATATACAATGGCGAGACATAGTTTCACACGTCTCCTAAATACAACTATAACTCACTATGATAGTATATCGATTAATTCAATATCAAAATAGATCATCATTTGAGATAGAATATCAAATTGTTGAGAACTCACAATATGTTCAAAAACAACAACACATCAGAATGAAATGATTAATCTATATCATTTAAATGAAAATGAAATAAAGTAGATTAGTTTCTATAAATAAAACTAATAAGAATATTTTATTTTTATTAACAAATAATTTAGATTATCTGATTTAATGAAGTATCAATGATTGTTAAGGAATTAATCGTGAGTAGCTAATTTTTATTATTACTTTTCATCAATTACAGAATAAACGTACAAAGGTCATTATAAAAAAAAAAGAACTTGAGATTTTATCACACGAGAAAAAAAGCTTGACAGCCTGTATATCTGACATCGATCAAATAAAGTGACGCTGATTTTTCGATTTTGACTTTAATTATACTTTTAACGAGTCATCCATAACATTTTTATAATTTTTCATCAAAATTAAAGAAGAAAAAGGCAATACATACGTGACAGTTCTAGCTCAACTAATTGACTTGATTTTGACTATCAATTAGAGCTGTACAAGGTATAGCGTCAGGGTTAGAGCTCCTTCAGTTCAAAAGTTTCGGGTTCGCACGCGAATCTTTATCGTAATACTCTCAATGAAATTTTTTAATCCGTATTTTATAATCACTCCGAAGATGTGAAATACTTTTTGCAACTATTTGTATACAGCGGGTAATATGTCCTATACATTGTTTATGGAATCTCGACAGTGATCTAATAAGAATTAAGTTATAATCGGCTTGTACTTTTAGAGTAGCACTCATCAAAATGATCTGGTATCCTACCTGGTAGGCTCCAATCAAGATTAGGATAAGAAAATTTTTCTCAGATTGGATGTAGAATACGAAAAAAAATTTCCTCTGTACAACTTAACCACTAAATTCTTACTCAATTTTCATTAGTTGTTGAATTATCCTATGTCTAGAAGATATCATGTCTATTAAATTTATGAATATAGGATGTAAATCATTTAGTTTATTGTATGAATATTCGATCAATGTATTCGATAATTAAAAGTAAGCGAATATGAAATATATGCAAATGAGTCTTTAAAAAAATTATCAACAAAATAACATAAACAAATATGCGAATAAGTTGAAGATCAACAGATCTTATTAATACATGGAAAATATTTTGTATTACAAAACTCTTCATCAAAGAATATAAAACACCACAATATATCAAAAAAAATGAATACTGTTCCAATGTTCATATTTTTGATAGAAAATTCTATTTGAATAAAATTTAAGTTGTATAGCTTATAGATAATTTTCAATTCAATATTCATTTATTCATTACACAACTTCCTTCATGAAAATGAATTGAACATTCAAATCACTAGCGGATTTAGAGGGGATGATCGTCTTTTCCTTCGGAAATACTTTTCTTAGAAGAAAACACCTAAAAATGAGCTGATACGACCTCGAATCGACTTTAAAACACATTTTATAATCATGATCATCCTTCTGTGCCAAAATTCTAGATCTATCATTGATTTTAATGGATTAGATTGGTTTACAAAGGTTATTCAAAACAATGAAAAATGATCTCAATCATTTGATATAAATTATATCTTTCAATATGTCAATAACCACTTTGACAAATGATTAGGGGAAAACAATACATTTTTTCTTTATTCTGTAGCCAATGATAAGAGATAAATTTCATGTAAAATTATATTTTAAAAATTTAATCAAATTAGTACTTCTAATTTTATTAAATATCAATTTCAATACTATCAAAATTTTGCAAATTTTTTTCATCAATTGTTTATTTAATTATCGAAAAAAAAATCTACAATTATACTATTTTGATAATTTCTATTGAAGTTAAACAAATATTCATTTTAAAAATGTTGAAAACTTTTTTCCTCTATTTTTAATAATCAACGGTGACAATGGTTGTTTCTTTTCCATCTATATTCCTTTTTCCTCTCTCCCTCTTTTTCTCTATCGTTCTTGTCTTTATGCTATGTTCTCGTCGTGCAATGAAAAAGAATGAAAAGGAAAATCGAGTCGACTGCTGCTATTGCTTGCCCTATATACACTTCTGTCTAAACACAATGAACGTTGCCCGTTGTACGTTTATGTGTATGGCAAGTAAGCTAAGAAGAATTATTTTTTCTTCTTCTTCTTCTCTCTCCCTTTGTCTCTTTAACGTCAGAAAGAGAATAAAATGTCTGTATGTCTGCCCTAGTTGCTTACTCTCACATACAACGACCGACGACGATAGAGAAGTAAGCTATTCGCGTTCACTGATTCTATTCATAGTCAACTCAAACTAACTGACATATACATACAAAGTATACGACATCTACTTAAAAAGTTTGTAATTCAAAAAAAAAATAGTAGAACAAATATTTCATTTGTTTTTTTTTCGTACAGATGCCACGAGCTGCTAAATCACAAAAAGATCCAAATGCACCAAAACGTCCATTATCAACGTTTTTCTTATTTTCACAAGATGAACGACCTAAAATAAAAAAAGAAAATCCATCATTGTCTGTTTCGGACATAGCTAAAGTTATTGGTGAACGATGGCGTTCAATTGGTGATGACAAAAAACGTCATTATGAAGAAAGAGCTCGACAAGAAAAAGAAAGATATGATCGTGAAATAGCTCAATATAAACAAGGTGGAAAATAGAAAAATCTTTTTCCTTTTTTTTTTGTCTATATATCTATGTATATAAATTATGATCAATGGTAGTTAGAAATATTAAAAAAAAACACAAAAAAGAAGTTGTTGTTTTGATTTGTTCATTTTTTTTTCTTTACTGTATTCTTTGTTTGTATATGTTGTGTTCAGAAATTAAAAAGATAAAATTTCAAAAAAAAGAAAGATATGCTATCTTTTGATAATGGTTTTGATATAACAGATAAAGACGTAGGAGTTCATCTTATGTTGAATTGATGTAATGCATAATGATTGTGACACTCTTATATGGGTAAAACAGGTACAAGATTGCATGATTGGTTGTTTGGAATAATCATATATGAATTGATTACATTCCAGTAGGAATCACGGTTGAATAGCTTATTCGTTTTGATTGAAAGAATTTTAGAGATGTAAGAAAAAGCAGTAACGCCTTCTCCACGAGTTATACCTCATTAGGTTTTTCTTTTTTATGGCTGTGAGTAATGTGAATATATGACATAACACAACCAGATATTGGAAATTTTCAGTGTTAACAAGAAAAAAAAAATTATTTTGAGAACAGGTTCAATTCCACGTAAGCTACTCAAAACAGAAAGCGGCTAGTATTTCTAGATTTTGATTACTAAAAATTGATGTTTATTAAAAGAAAAATATGCTTCGTAGAATCAACTTGCAAAAAAATACTGGAAACGCTATTTTTCATTGGAAAAGACGTCCAAGCAAATTTTAGCCGTGGAGAGGCACAGCCGAAAATTTTACGAATAAAAGCTTGAAGGGGAGTAGAAGGAAAATTCTAGTCAGAGATATTTTGCGATGAAATGTAGAATTTTCGATGTAGCTTTGCATACTGATTCTAAAAATTATGCTTATTTCCAATAAAAACCAATTTTTGGTAATCAAAATCAAGAAATACTAGCTGCTCTTTTGACGGAGTATTTTACGTGAAACTGACCCTGTTATAAAAATAATGATTTTTTTACTAACACTGGAAAAGTTCAAGGTTTGTGTCAGAAGTTTTGATGTCATAATATCATCCGCAATACAAAACAAATTGACTGGGAGTATATGTGTCATTTTATTTGATCATGTTTTGCGAATTCTTGATCATCATAAAGATCTTTCTTCAGAAGTTCAAATCATAGTTAAAGGTATGATCTTTTTTTATAATTTATTTTGATAGACTGTATGAAACTACATTGATGATAAAAACTTCACTTTTTAACAGTGACCCATTGTGAAACTATAGATTAAACAATCTTTCTATATAGTAAAAAATAAGAGTGTAGTTGAGTACTTTTTAATGATAAGCACTACTTGTTAATAAAGTAATTGTTCATTTTTATTTTCTAGAGAATCTTCAGTTACATGCACAATAAAGATTTGGTCATTACTCATGCAACTATAAATGAGATATAAGTCATAAAACAATAGAGGGATCAATATTCGTTGAAAGTGTTTACTTCCCTAAATTATTGTTTTTTTTTTCTAAGACTAAAAAAGTCCAAGTTCTGATATAGCGATCTCATATCCTCAGGATAGTTATAGCAAAAAAATACTTGAACGAAAAAAAATAGCTAGGAGCAATAATCACCAATTCTTTTATTGTACAAATGATACTATTGTCAGTTTTAAGAAGTCATTCAATTAGTACCAAGTCCATAAATATGAATATCAACGATCGTTCAGTGTTATGCGAAGCCGCTGTGAGACTATGTAAAATTTGACATGTGAATGGAATTCTTTTAATTTATTATTGTTACATCTAAATCAACATTCAAAATTTTCATCACAATTATCAATAGATTTATTTATGAAGTCGCAAAAAATTTTAGACAAAAATTGAAAAGAAAAAGATTTAATTATGATAAATCAGCGAAGATACATTATTTTTTGCCAAATGTCTTGAATCGATATAAAGAACGTATATTCGTATGAGTTTAATTGGTGTCCAAGTATGACTCGAACTATGAGACTAAAGAATTATTAAGATAATCTATACTATTGGTAGGTTGGAAAAATTCATAGCAGTCGGATCAGTATTTGAATCGTATGTAGAGATGTACGGAACCAAGACTTTTCGGCTTCGGTCATAGCTTCGGTAAATCAGGTCTAGTACGGTTGAGGCATCTTTTTTTTCTTGTAGTACCAATTCTAGTGTTGGCAATTTTTCATACCATGGCCATGGTATACCTTCAAATTTGAGTTTCGCACGTCTCTCTAATTGCACGATCTACTGTGCCATGGTGCGAACTCTATAAAATATTAATATGTTTGTTCAGATTAAGTTGTTTCCACTGCTTGCCTTAATCAATGATGCTTACTGGAAGAAAAAGAAAAATCTGGATTGATATTTTTGAAAGTCATGATTAGAGTTTGTTGGGTCCAAAATTTTCAGATCCTAATCAACCCGACAGGCTCTAGTCAAAGTTACCAGATCGACAAGTTATAAATCGTAATTTTGGCAATGAAAATTTGGAATTTTTTATAGAAATTTCGGAAAAATCTGGAAAGTAGTTATTTAACGTTTAAATACATATATTGCCTTTTGTATTGAAATATATTTTGCTCTATCAGTATTTTATGTGAAAATTGATAGTGACACAGGTTTTTTTTTCTTTTTCAATCTAACTTATAGTCGTCTTCGAATCCTTCAATTCATCACGTACGGCTAAATCTAATTCAGTTTAACACATTAGAATTATCATTTGAAAAAGTTCTTTCTTAAACTTAAAACTCAATTTATATGCGCGATATTGTTTATTCAAGTTTCGAAGTTGTAATCAAACTCATACAAGTTCGAATATAGAAAAATATTACAACTCGGAAAAAAATTCGAAAACTTTCCTGCCATTTTGGAACACATGGCAATCCTGTTGAGAGTTTATGAATGTGGTTAGAAATAAGCTGAAACTATTAATGAAACATCAGTCTCTATTTTCGAATGTATTCATATCATTTAAAGATACTCGAGCTATATAATCATTCACTTGTTAATTTTCGAAGAGTATAAAAAACTTTGACAAAATCCTATTAACACATATTGTGGCGAACAATAAGGTTAAACTAGTTGTTTTTTTTCAGTTTTCATCTTGATAATAACCAAGACTCTCAGAATCTATTTTCTAGAATTCATTTGAAGCTTTTTGGAAATGGTTTTATTTGATAGCGTAAAATGAGATGTCTCGGCTACCGTCATAAAACTGCATTCAATTTATAGAAAGCACCAGAGCATCAAACAAGGCGAAATCATTGAAATTTTTTATGAAGCGAAAGAAAAATACTTACTGAGTCTTCTGTTAATTGAATACAGTTCGATGAAGAGAGTCGAAATATCTGATTTTGCTCTATTAAATAAAACCATTTCCAAAAAACTTCAAATGAATGTCAAAAACTGGTTTTGAAGGATCTTAGTTTTCCAGACATCCTCATGCAAATAGTTTTATTTGAGATTTCTAATTCATTACTCCTGATAAAGAATCCTTTTAGCTACTTAAATATTTTTCCAGATTCTTTCTATCTCTATAGATTTGTTTTATAACATTTGTAAATTATCACTAGATGTCATTCATGTCTGATTTACATTGAATAAATCTTTTCAAAATGATCGAAATAAAATTAATTTGATTTACATATAGGATATTTATTTCATCAATAACTGAAAACAAAAATAACTAAAAAAATTTTACTATTATTAAAAGGGTTCAAACAGAGCAACAGCAACGATATGGTCGATCGTTGATTGAATGACGTATTGTCATTCTGGTTTTCTTTTCTTTTTTGGGTTCTTTTAACCTGTCAAATGAGTACGAATTACGAACGAGAATGACAAATAAAAAGATTATTTCGTAATCACGGTAATTCAGTTTTTCGAAATCTTGTGTTTTTTTGTTCGTTTTCAAGATAAAGTTATCATGGCTAATGAAGAAGATGAATGTGACTCGTCAAGTCTATTTACTGTCGCTAGTCAATCGGATGTTACTGCATTTTTACATGCACAAGCAGCAAAAATAACCGGTTTAAATTCAAGTGTCAGTGATGATGATGATGATGATGATGGTGATGGTGATGAGAGTTCAATAGTTGTTAGCTCTTTATCAAGATATACTCAAATTTCATCAAAAAATTTAAATAGTCATAAAAAACCATATTTAAGTCATTCTTGTTTTGCTTCAATATCAAATTTATCATCATCATCGTCATCACCACAGAAACAAACTATTTCAGATGATTTAACTGAATTAAAATGGTTAAATACATTTAAATTTAAAGAATTGAAAGATAATAAAAATAATAATGTAAAAAATAAAATTTTTCAACATATAAATTCAAATAATGATGATGAAATAAGTAAATTATGTAATGAATTAAAAACATATGATTATGAAAATTTAAATAGAAATTCTATATCATTCGGTGTTCTAATATTTCTTGCTTTATATTCTAAACGTTATGATAAACAAACACCATGGTTATTAACTATAAAACAATTATATGAATATATACAAATAAATATAAAACAAGTAACAACTAAACGTAGATGGAAAGATTTATTAAAACAAACATTAATAAATATTTCATGTTTTATTAAAACAAAACGTGATATACTTAAATCACGTTCTGTATGGACAATTGATCCGTATTATCGACCATTATTAACAAGAGCTTATTTAACTCGATTATCATTACAAACGAATAAGTAAGAAAAGAAATTCATTTTTCATTTAATATTTAAGAAATTTTATTTAATTAGAACAATATCTGCAAATCAAAATGAGAAGAAACAAATCTTTTTGTATGTTATATAATACTTGATTATTAGTTCTATGAATTTTTTTCCTGTTTAATTATATAGAGATAAAAATCATTTTTCAAAATCAATTATTAATAATTTTGCACCAAAATCAACAGTGAAAACAAAAGGTAATTGAAAAGAAATTTTGTTTTGAAAGAAAACAAAGTTTTACTTTGTGTTATATGTAAATATAGTACTTCCTCGTCTTTATGAACGACTTTGTGAAGAAAAAACAGATTATGACTTGGAAGATGAAACAGATTCAAATAATATTATTAAATTACCATATAATTCAATTTCAGGTAAAGACAGCTATTAGTACCATCTCTGCGAAATTAAAATATGAAACACGATTTAACTGCTGGTGTTAGTCACAAGAAGATTGTTTTATTCTATCTATTTTGGGACACATTTCTTCACTATTCTTCTACTTAATCCTCTCGAAATGTAATAAGGAATTAGTTCATATATTATAATGAGGTGCTATTCACATACAATCTGTGACGTTTCTAGGATTATGTCTGTCATGGCGTGTGCGATAGAGCCTGTCGCGTTGGTTTCGGACTCGATAGGCTCTAGTCGTCCGAGACATGTATAGACTGTGCTAGTCACCACATACCAAAAAAACTGAAAAAAAAAGTATCTCATATGTTTGGGACGATTATCTAATTCCGATTAGAAAATTTCATTGAGAATATCAAAGTACAGTTCGACGGAGTCTAGTGTAGAGGGACGAAATTTTTACCCCTATATTTCAACACGTTTTTGTTCAATAATTGTAAAAGGAAAATTACAAGTCAAATTTGCAAAAACAAAATTATGACAACTGATAATTAGATTAGAATCATATTCTGAAAGACTGAGACTTCAGTCTCTTTAAGTCTTGTGCGTAAAGCTGCCGAACAAATTGTATCTTGTATGACTTTAAAACGAAAATATTCTGTCATACAAAAGTTAAAAATTCAATATCAAAATCAGTTTCAGTTGAAGTAGATAGTTTTCTGCAGAGAGAAAATGCGACCATCAGTTTTTCGATGATTGTTAACTATAGAAAGGAATATCTGTAAGCTTCTAGAGAAAGACTTTCTCTACAAGTCTACATATAGACCATTCTGTAGTCAGGATCATATAGCCGTCTTTAATCAGTGATTCTTGTTTTCAAAAATTGAATAAATTCATATCAATCTCTTAATAAGCTTACTAGAAAAATCATTTGTATTCCTACTACATCAGTATCAGTTGAATGTATATTTTCTCAAAATGATCTTTTAACGAGATCGCTTTTCATAAACTAATACTTATATTTTAAGATCTTTGATATGCAATTAGATATTAACTTAGATATTAATAAACACTTTTTATTTGTAAACAGCTTTTAAAATTAGTTTTTTATTTATAAAAGATTATCTCCTTCTTTTTACTGTGGTCGGGAACGGCATCAAAAGACAACAGTTGATTTTATTGTTTTGATTGTTTTGATAAATCTATAATAGTTATGCGGGAAGGTAAGTGTAGCATCAATGCACCATCTTATACTCAAAGGTAATAAAACAGTTCTGAGACGTTAGAAATATGTAGTTTCATTTTACTGATTACCACCGACTCAGTATAGTTCGTGCGTATTGGCAGTAGTGTTTATTGAAACATTAGAACATACTGTTATAAAAAAAAGGGCATATTTTGATAGAGTTGATGTCTCAATGTTGCAGTGAACGCGAATATCAGTACTTCAGTAAATATTGATGCTAATGTAATCAATTTCCCTAGTGAACCCTTTGTCGGTGACTGAGATAGAAATTTACGTTATAGATAGAAGTGAAACTAATACTATTCAAACTCGATTTTTTTCGATCAAAGAAAAGCTATTTGGAGAAAATAATAAATTTTTGTAGAACTTAGCTAAAGATTTGAAACAGTTGATGAATATATGATTTTTCGAAATCTCCAAGTTTGATTTTATTTGTGTCGGAAAATCTTTTCTTATGATTTAGAAAAGTTTTATAAAATTTAGCTGTTATCTGAAAAATAGACTCTATTTTGATTACGCATTTAAATTCATTGATGCATTCAAACTTTTAATCAAGTTTTAGAAAAAAAATCGAATTATAATAGTATTACTCTTATTTATAGCTCAGACTTCAATTTCTGTCTTGTTTTTCAAATCTATAAGCGTCACTACTAAGTTTGAGTAACAAAAGATGCTGAATATTTCTGACCTGTATTTACTTCCTTGTCATCATATCATTTAATGTCATGTAATATTGTTCTTATTTTTGTTTTTCTGTGTATAAAAATTCGGAAGTATATATATATGGTGTCATAAATAACTTGTTGTTAACGTTCTTTGTCAAAATAACCAGAAAGAGGAAAAAGTGACAAAAATAATGTCACTCGCTTCGAAAAGTAGTTTACCTCATCAGTTCTGTTTATCACGTACTTAGTCACATACAGAGGCCGCGTGGGGATACGAAGATTAGAGGAAGAGGGTGTAAAGGTACTTTTTGCAACAAAATATCATAAAAATATCATAGAAAGTTCAAAAAATCCATTTCTATCATTGAAAAAAGTTGAAAATTCCCCATTATTGGGGGAGAGGGGGTGGTGTACACCTCCCATACTCCCTCCCCACTTCCACGGCTTCTGATCACATGGTTATAAAATTCACCATATATTCACTATGTAGATATGCAAGAAATACTTTTTGACTCGTATATTTCTATAAAATTCAAATATTCAAATGGACATTTGATTTTTACTTTAAATAAGAAAAAATTTCGAAAGTATATAAAATTTTATTTTTAATATGCGTTTAACAGACTATAAAATACATAAAATTCTGTTTATCATTGAAATATAAATATTTTTAATTGCTTTATCTATATTCAAAAGGATTTAAACGACCTCGTTCTATATCATTATTCAGCCATCGTCAACCTGTAAAAGGTAGGAAGTAGGTGTAATATTATTGTTTATTTAAGTTATTTATTTAGACAATCATGAAAAATGTCGTCTTTCATCGTCTGAAACCTGGATAACAAAATCAACGAAGCGAAATAAAATACATTCAAATATCAAATCAAAATTATCAACATCAAATAGAGAGTAAATAATATTTAATAAAAAAAAAACAACTAATAAAAACTTTTGTTTGTCAAGATCAACTATTATTACACCATGTCCAAGTGTCGATCATACGTATTTAAATCCAATAGAACAACAAAATAATTCAATTATTAAACGAACCAAATCAACTGAATATAGTAAAAAAATTAATTGAAAATATTTTATTGTTTTTTTTTTTTATACTTTTCTTTTCTAAATTAAGATGAACCATCATCTATCGATGAAGACGATGAACGTGATAGTAATTCATTAATAAATTCAATTCATAAATCAACTATTACAACTCGTAGTCAAATATCAACAAAAAAACCTATACAAAATACGATTAAAAAAAAATTTGTTCAACGTCGAAAATCTTCATCAAAAAAACGTTTATCTCATATATTACCATTAAATCGACCAAATACACGTAGAAATCGAAAAATAATTGAACAAGATTTAGAATTATTACGACAAGCAAATAACAATTTACAACTACGTGATCTTTCTACCATACCTTCTAATCAATCAATAAAAAGACGTACAAAGATTGCTAGTGAAAATATACACGATCTGTCTCTCACTTGATAATAATATCTATTTTTGTATAGTTTTCATATGTGCAATAAAAACGTATTTGATAGAGCAAAAAGAAAACGTAATAATGATTCACATCATTTATGGAATTTAGGCGTATATTGCTATAAATAGTAGCATTTAACGTAAATTTAATCTTATCGAAATACGCATTTGTTTCCTCTTCCTCTTATATTACTGTTAGTCATTACATCCGAGAACATTCGATAATATTAGCTTTTTTCGTCATTTATATTTGTCATACTTCCACCATAAAGGATACAAGGATATATGTATGACAAATTTTTACATGTGAAAAATGCAATATCATTTATTAATATGTGAACACAAGTCGACTTGTTGTTCTTCCGTTTTGGATCATACCTTAAGGGTACTTAAGAGAAAAATTGCGATTATTTTAAAAAATGAAAAAAATAAAAAGCAAACAGACGTATCAATGTTTACATCAGAACAAAGAACTCAAAGTCCAAAGGTAATGACGACTGCTCTTACGCCATCATATAAAATAATAAAATAGGTTTTTTTTGTTTTTCATCAGTCATACATTAAAAGTAAAATCGGTACTCATATATTTGTTTATACGTTTTAACGACATTTCGTTTTGATTTTTTGTTTTTACAATGCGTCGTTCGGGGTAATACCTTAACGAACAGACAAAAAAAAAATATCTGGATGATTACTTCCTCTTTTTCGATATTGATATAAAAAGTGAGATACTTATCGTACGTTATGTTTTATTTTTTGAAACGGCCAAGGTAACTGACTCACAAGCCAAAATTATTAATCACTTCAGAGACGGCCGATAATCGTTATAAAGTATGATTGGCTTTTACTTTTAACGTTCGAATAAAGTATGATAATTCTAAATCGTATGACAATGCATTTTTGCTTCATATATATATGAAAAACGAGCAATTATTATTTTTTCTATTGTTGTATTATAGATTGTATCATGTCTGATGAAATTAATTCTTCAGATATTCAATTAGCTGATCTTCATAGTTCATTTCAATCAACATTAGCAACGCCTAATAATCTTTATCATAATAGTGTTTGTGGTTCAATTTTATATTGTTCACCAACAAATTCTTCGTCGCAAATATTTTCTTATTTACTTCATGGAAAATTTGATGTATTTCGTCGATCTCTTGATATCTATCATAAAGATATAATTCTAATGAAAAATGAACACGAACAAGTAAATATATATATAAAGTTTCATTAATTTATATATTGTATGAATTATTTTTAGACTGTTTTACATATTTTAACTATGCATAATTATCCATATCAATGGATACGTTTATTAATGATGTTTAGATGTGATCCATGTTGTCAAGATATTGATGGATATACGGCTGCACATTATGCAGTAGAACGAGATGATGCTGAAATGCTTAAAGCTTTAACAATGCTTATTCATTCTCAAATAAAAATATTTTCAGAAGAACAAACAAATGCTATACATGAACGTTGTTTAAAAGCTTTATCAATACGAGAAAAACAAGGTTTAACAGTATTTATGCTTGCTTGTCATCATGAATCGATCAAATGTCTCGATTATTTACTTGAACTTAATATTAATGATGTAAATTTACAAGTATGTTTTTCATTTTAATCAAATAGTTTGTCTTATTTATGTTTTCTATTAAATTTAATTTTTCTTTTAGGATAATTTTGGTGATACATGTTTACATTACGCTGTTGCTCGTCGAAATGAAAATCTTGTAATGAAATTACTTAATCAATGTAATGCTAATATAAATGGTGGTGATAATACACGACCAAGTGTACTTGATGTTTTACAATATAATCGTGAACAACGTAAACCATTTGATAGAGCACAAGATGATTCAATCAAACAAATACTTTTATCACATAATGCTTTAAATCGTTGTCAAGTACGACGTATTGTTAAAAAACGTAAACATTCATGTGATAATGATGAATCAGTTAAATCAAATTTAACTTCTCGTACAGATAATGAATCAACCAATTCACAAATAGAAACAGCGAGAAATTATGCTCGAACTGCACTATCATTACAAAACCAAAGTAAATTTAATGATGCTGAAGAGTATTATAAACGTGCAATGAATTCTATACCGAATGATATACTTGATTGGACTGATTATGCATTCAATCTTGCTCTTATACATATAATTCATGGAGAAAATCAATCAGCACTTGATTTATTACAACAAGCATTAAAAGTACGACAACAATTTGAAAATGAAACAGAAGATATTGAAAAAATTCAACGTGCTATCAACAATATTCAAATAACATGATTGATATAAAATAGAACATTTTATTTTAAAATTATCGAATCCAATATGGAGATATTTATTTTTTTTGTAAATACTCAATTCAGTAAAGTCAAATAAAGTTGTTTGTTTTTTCAAGTAAATTTTATTCTATCATCAAGAGAAGAATCTCAATCTTTTAATTTAAAAAAAAACTTCTGCATCTAATCATTTTTAAAATAAGAAAAAATTATTTTTTCCCATATTTTTTTTCTAAAAAGTCAATAACACATTGATAAGTTAATCCAGTAAGATCTGTCTTAGTTGGATTATGATGCTGTTGTCGAATTGCTGTTGAACTAATATCAACAAGTGTTTCACGTTCATCAGCTAATGGAATATAATATAAATTCGGCAAGGTTTCTTCAAAATTTTTTATCCGACTATCAGAAGCACCAGGACGATATATCACAGCACAAGTTACATTTTCTGCTGTTACCAATTGTGTAACATAAGGACATTTATTAAAATGATCCAAACCACATATATAAACAATTTTTAATGGATGTTTGAGAAGTTTTTCAGGTCCACATAATTCATAATTGAGAAATTCAGCAAAACTCATGCTTACTTCATCAAAATCAACGAATCCATTGAATTGACATTCACCTTTAGCTACAGAAATCCAAGATTTTGTATTTTCATCCAATCCAATAACTTGTTCACAAAGTTCACATCGATCTTCAGCTGAAATCCAATCCGAATGACCCAATTTATCGAGAACATACGAATCACTTTTTTCAAAAAATTAACATTTAAAATTATACATTCGGCACCAAAATTATTCAATGAGGTTTATTTTCAAATTTTTTTCTATTGCAACGAATCTAAATATTGATTCAAGCAGAGAAAATTATTTCCAACAAGAAAATAAAAATTATTCTCAGACTTTCAAAGATAGGATGTCTAGAAAATCAAAACTTTAGTTTTTTCAGCGCCTAAAATGTATAAATATCATATTTTTTTAGATTATATAAAATGATAGGGCAAACAATTCTCTACAAAATGAGACGTCACTGAGTTCTCTACGACGGTCTTTTTTAGCTGAGATATAGCGATTTTGTGGAAGCTATCGAAGTGACTTTTTTTATTATATTCAATAGAAACGCTCTTTTAAGACGTTCAATGAAAATGTTGTACTTCACCTAATAAAACATCATAGACAACTCGGAGACGTCTCATTCTGTAGAGAATTGTTCGATTCATGATTTTATATCATCCGAAAAGAAAAAATTATATTTACGCGTTCTAGATGCTAAAAAACTAAAGTTTTGATTTTCTGGAGATTCTATCTTTGGAAATCTGACAATAATTTGTATTTGTTTTTTTTTTATTGGAAAGAATTTTTTCTCTAAAATTACTATTTGGATTCTTTGTAGTGCTTAAGACAACGGAAAAAAATTGAAAATAAACCGTGTTGAATCATTTGGATACCCATTACATATATACCGAGTGCCTGAAAAATTTTTAAGTATATCGTTACTATTCGATTCAACTTTATAAACTAAGTTTATTTTTTTTAATGATAGGTCCATACACATCGAGTTTGTAATGAAACGAGTAAACTTTTAGAAGCACTCTTCAAAGCTATTATCTTTAACTGAAATGCAAAAATTTAACTTTTTGTTTGATATGTAGAAAAACATTAGACAGCGGTTCGTTTTAATTATTCCGATATCTTGAATCATACTAATCTTTAAATTGTTTAAATCTTTAATTATCGTTTTATAGTCATTTGTTTTAATTTATTTTTATAAAAAGAAATCCAATAATATTAAGTCTAGTGATCGTAAAGCTCATGAGATCGGTCCATTTCTTCTAAATCACTGATCGTCAGACATATCGGTCACATAGTAGCGACCTGTCTTGAAGCAGTGTGTTAATACTCTATGTTATTGGAAAATCAGTTTTTTAATAATTCTTTTTATAAAATCTTGTGAAAGAAGCTATAGAGTATGTCAAGGTTATTTTGTTGGCCAATCATTAAAATCATAAAAACAAATGACTCAACATTCAGTTTTCTTGATATTACACACCACACAGTAAGTTTTTCTAAGTACATTACAACTTTGAAGTCGTACATCAATTATTTCAAGTCTAGATACGACAGCTATGCTTGCTAACCAATGTAGAAGGTGACTATGGGGATAACATTCAAAAAAATGAAGTAATTAAAAAAAATAACCATTGCTTCATGTCTTTTAACATATAGAAAAGAAGGATGAAATTTTATATTCCAGTTAGAAGTAATAACTTCGAAGGGTGCTTGTATAAATAAAAACTCAGTATATTCACCTATAATTTTAAAAAAATAGTTGATAAAGTTAAATCAAATAGTAAAGATAAACGAAAAAATATTAAGAAAAGAATTTTTCGTACATTCTGTATATATATTGTAAGTTAACATATAAAACATACTGTGTAGGTGATAAATAAGCAGCAAGAACATTCAATGGTTTTGATCTATGGTGTTCAAGATAGTTTCGAACATGCTGAAGATTTTTTATATGTGAACGATGTATTGGATTAAGAGAACCAGTCATAATCAAAACACAACTATATAATAATTTTGAAAAATAAAACATTATTTCAATAAATGTCACATTATTGATCTTACTTATTATTTTTCTCCTCAAGTTGACGCTTCGTACAATTCTGTATTATGATATTTATATCTGTATTGCGTTTTGTATGCATCGGTGTTTTTATTTTCTTCGTATGAAATGCCATGGTCGATAAAAATACAAGAATATTCTAAAAATGTTAAGCTTCTTACTATACGATTCATGTGTCTAGTTCACATAGTGTCTAAAATCGGCCATCCATTAGTACTTTAGATATCTCAGCTAGACATTCAAAACAAAAGATGCATCAAGTATCTCAATCCAATATGTCAAGTGTTAACGGAGGACCAATTTTAGATATTCCAGCGGAATAAATATAATATTTACGCTTCATGCGTCTTATCTAAGTATTTTCATTTTTTTTGTACAGTGAATATAGTTAGTTCGCAACAATATTTTTCTGTTTCAATTGTTGACATAAAAAAACGACGAATGAAAAGAATAAGCATCACTAGAGGTCACACAAAGTCGAATAGAAAATACGGGACTATATTTAATTATATATTCTAAATATATATAAGAATTTCTTACGACGAATTTCAACGAGAAATTCAAATTAATTATTGTTATTTAGTATTACATGTGGTGGACTAATCTCTTCTATTATATACTTCGATAGGTATTTTCCCTCTTACTTTTGGGACGTTTTCTATAAAATATATTTTTGTACTGTTGTTAATATCAGCGTGCTATTCAAATTTTTTCTTACGAAAGAACAATTTAAAACTTCCTCATGTCGCACGTTTGTTCGTACTACTGCTGGTATACCGATGATTTACTGGTGATAGCGCTTACGATTTTCGATTCTAATTATAAATGTTTGCAGAGAATGCTTTCTACCCAAATTCGAATTATTTATTAAAAAGAACTCAAATTAACCGAGAAGAAAACAGTTTCAGAATATATTTTACTAATAAAAATTTATCCCATAACTAGGACGATTTGGATTCTGTGGCTAGTAAAGGTGGTTCATACGTATTAACATAATCAATGTATATCGAAAACGACTCAATTCTATCAGTTTTAACAGACTTCAAAAATATTCACCCGTTTTGATACAATACACGTTGAGAGTATGGATACATAGTATTTAATACCATAGCTACAAGTTCCGAGAAAAGTATACAGTAGTCCGGAATGGTCAGGTGCGTACACATTCAGTGTTCTTGTGCTAATCTTGATCAATCCTTGTTCCATGACATCTAATTATCATTTGTATTCGGTATGCATCAAATTCAGTCTATGATTGGTAAATTGGTATGCAGTGCAATCAGTATCCTGGCTACTGAGAATGTTGTCTATCTACTCCGCGAAAGGATCAACTCGATCTTCGGAAGAGCGCTGCCATACTGGATAAAATATTACTTAATATTTTCTATCAAAATATATACTTTTTATCAAATTTAGTCCTGATTATGACTGGAAGGATTAATGAGTATCCAATAATAGTCAAATAAAAAAATTGTTTTTTTTTGTTAATTTTTTTTGGTTCATTTTGATTTTCAAAGTTGATAAACCTTTTTCATTGAAATATACTTTGATAAAGTTTTCCTTTGTCTATCAAAATCATATCATTTGAATCTATGTTAACCGAACTTTTATAGATACATTTTGAATTCTGCAAATAGAAAATCAAATTTTTTGCTATTCTTAATAAAAACGTCAATGAACGAAATATTTATGCCTACGAGAAAAGTCCCTCAACTGATAAATCACTTTTGAATCGAAATTACGTACATTATGTAGAACTAAATGATCTATAAATACTCTGAAAACAGTTCAAATCTTTAGCTTATTCCTGCCGAGATACTGCAAATTTACGATATTTTTTTAAATGAAAGCTTTGGTTCGCCTCAGAAACACCAAGAAAATTGATTTCCAAATTTCGACTTGAAACTTTGCATAGAAACAAGGTTTAACGAGAATAGGTAATCGTGAAAGTATCAAGCTATCTGATCTATTCCTGTCATGAAATAAGAACATGGAATCTGCGACTGTATATAAGCAATGTACGTGGATGATACACTTTTATCGTGGCTATTTCTTAGAATAGAAGCAACAAAAATATCTGAAACTTTCACAATAAACTATTCTCATCAAGAATTATTTCTATGCAAAGTTTCAAGTCGAAATTCGAAAATCAATTTTCTTAGTATTGCCAAGGGAAACTACCGTATACATTTAAAAACTACTGTAAATTTTTAATATCTACGCAAGAATAAGATAAAGGTCCGAACTCTTTTCAAGATATTCAAAACTTATGTGAATCTAGATGATGCACATAGTCTCACCTTAAAAGCAATTAATCCGTAGGAAGACTTTCCTCGTTAAATAGAAAAGTTAATATTCTATAATTAATAACATAAACAATAAAAAAATATCAATTTTTTCATAAAGATACAATACATTGAAAAAAACTAATTGAATTAAGTTATACATTCATAATTAATTCTATACGGATTAATATTTAAAAAAAAACATAAAATAGAAAGAAAGATTAAAAATTGATTTCTCTTAAATAATAACATTCGCGAGAGAGAGAGAGAGAGAGAGAGAGAAATAACATCCAATTTGATTTCTATCAAAAAAATAAAAACAAAATCAATACAAATTATTAAGCATGTTCAACATCCATTTGTATAATGTGATCTGCATCACCTGTTCGTTGCTGATAATTATCATTACCACCTCGTGTTGCATTTGTTGAATTATATTTTTGTGATGAAAATGGAAATGTTGGTTCTGGACGATAATTGACTAATCCACGTATACGACCTTATTATAATATAATTATATAATTAATAATCTACTAAATATAAATACTTACGCATTATAATACAACCAACTATAATTGATATCCAAATGATTAATAATAATATAAATATTAACAATATTACTAAACAAAGGAAAAACAAAACACCAAACAATCGAAAATATTTTTCTACTGAAATCAATTGCATTACTTGTTGATCCATGAATACTCGATGTCTTCATTGTACTTAGATTTGTATTAAGTATATCTCTTGATGGTAGAAGTCTATAGAATTAAAAATAGATAAATTAGACAAACAAAACTAAAATAATATAACAAACTTGAATAAATCAAAAAAATCATTTTTTTGACAAATATTATCATTTTTAATTAGTTTTGATTTATAAGTATAATAAATAAGAAAATAACAATTAGCTTGTGAAATATTTTCACATTCAATTAATAAATAATCACCTTTCATAAGAAATATATCAGGTGATAATATTTCAATAGCACTTTGATTTGTATTTGATAATATTCTTGAATCACATACTAATTGAATTAATTTTCGTCGAAATTGACGTACACGAATAACATATATACGCCACCAAGTATTATTTTCATTGGAATTTAATTTCTTTATTCCATATAATAAACGTGGAACATTTGACGAACGACATGAAAAATCTTAAAGAACAAAAAGAAAAAAGAAAAAGATTTTATTAGATATATAATATACATCCTCTAACAAATAGTTACGTGTTCCCCTATCTTGATCACCAACCACTACGGTAGCCATTTGATATCGTAATCTTAGGGAAAAGAAAAAGAAATTTTTCATACATTTAATTTTACTTAAAACTGAAGAATCTGTCAATTAGTTTGCGAAGAGAAAAGGCCTGCTGTGTGCACTAAAATACCCAAACGTTCGACATGCGATAGTAGTAGGCGGCCATCCATAAAGAGTGTCCAGAAAATGGCGGAGACGGAGGTCAACAAAAACCAGATATTTTCAGATAGGTAAAGGAGATAGGTCAGACTAGAGCCGGGAAGAAACATTAGAGACTTCAGTCTTGAAGTTTTCTGAAATTCCATGAAGTCTGTCGAAGTTCCGTGAAGTCTCGAAGTTTACTGTTTCCCTCTCGAGCCAATCCCAGACACAGACCTGGTTGGGTCCGGGTTCGAAAGTTCTAGACCCATTGAATTCTAGGTCAGACCAAGGGAGAAGCAGCAGAGACTTTAGGTTTGAAGGCTTAGTGTCTCTTGACATCTTATGAAATCCTCAGAAATCTTTGGAAATCACTAGAAGACTTTCAAAGAATTCTGAAGTCTTGATATCCACTATTTATCCTTCTTGCATTTGAAGCAGCTCGACGTTCGAACACTGATTCCGATCTTTTTGTCATGTTTTAAACCTATTCAATAGGATAATTTCTCAAAATTTTACGAAGCATCATCTACGAATTAATCACGTTTATAAGTTGTTTAATACAAAAAAAATCATCAACATATTTAAGCAAATGGATTCTTTATAAAGAATTTTTGAATTCGAACATTCAAGTGAAAGTAGAAGTTTGTCAAAAAAAAATGTAATTTGTATCTAGACATCCGTGATGGGTGACTCCCAATGTGTCACAGGTCATCGATTAGCATGTAGTGAACTTTTGCTAATGATTATCATCGACTCTTCTTAGCAAATAGAAGCCATCAATCTAGTTTCTTCACTCTCTTATCGGTCAACTCGATTGAATTGATTCTTTCTGAATTTAAAAAGACAAAAAATTAGAATTTTGTTTTATTTGAAAAAGAAGTCTTTCTTTCGTATAATAGAATAAAATTTGAGATTTACAATATTTTTCTCTATTTTAGCTCTATTTAAGTAATTTATAAAAATACAATGAAAGTTTCTATTTTGATTTATAGACTTTTCAATCTATACCATGCTGTTTCCGAAAATGTGTAGCTGCTTTTGGTCTTCAATTGATTTTTTTTTCTTATAAATGGAAATTTAATCGAAAATGAAATTATTGCCTGAACGCTAATCATCATTACTTGTTTGCTTAATACCAGAAAGTCCTAATATGTTCTGTTAAATGATAATATCTTGATTGAAAAACAAAATGACCTACGATTGAATTGATATGTACAGTATAACACCTGATTGTTCTTTATGTATTTGTTTTTCTTTCCTATAAATAACTGTAAGTACAATTGATTTAAAATTTGTTAAGTCGAAACCAGAACCTATTAGAAATCAAAATATAAGAAAAATTAGATTTCTATGAAAACTCCGTCTTTTTTTTTTACCATCAGATATACGAAAAGGAGATGATGATGAATATGGAGTCCATTCA